TAGGGTTTAGTGCTTTGTTTTCTTGTGTTAGAATTAATGTAATGTGTCTCTTGGTATTCCTCTTTCATACCTATAAATATGGGAGGATTTGTAATGTTTGAAGTTAATGAAAGTGAATGAAATGTTATTTTTGGAAAAGCTATAACCTGCGGGTTTGCTTTGGAAATCCTGTGGGCTCTTTCCACCCTTCTTTCTCATCCCCTCCAGAAATCCTACGGGCTCTTTCCAACCTTTCTTCTCGGGCTTCTAACCTCTTTCGTCTCTCCGCAAGTACCACTCCACCTGTATCCTTCTTCTCTAAGTGAAGCAACTTTAGGGTGTCGTCAAGTGATTGAGTCAAGTTTGTAAGTCGGCTAAATTTTGCAAGAGTCATTGTTGTAAGTCTTTTGGTTTCTAGTTTTTACATTTTATTTGAAATGTAAGAGTTTGTTCTTCCTTTTCTCATCTTTAGTCATTTTCATCGGTAAAAGTCTGGTCATCTTAGTTGTTTTTTTCTTGTGGGCGAAAGGTATAGGCACCATTATATCTTTTGCCCGCATCACGTCTCATCAATCTATGGGATTGTTGTTATTATTCCGTTATTATTATTCCTTGTTTTTGAATGTTTCATGTTAGTGATTCTTTTCGGATTATATTAATATTATACAATGTTGGAATAAAAAAAAAATTGGAATGAAATATTCTTCAAATTTCCTTACATGAATCACATGGGACTGTTTAAAGCATACAATTTATTAATATCCATTATTGATGTGGAACATTATTATATTAAGATGCTTGATGCATGAAAATCGTATAATGGATAAATGGTGTGAAAAATGCTAGGATGCAATCTAAAAACCAAAATATTCTGAAAGAATTGGGAATTTTCGTAATACTTTGAGATGGATAAAATGTTGAAATTAAGTTTGTAATGTCCCTATATGTTATATTTTCTTGTTACAAAAATAATTATTGAGCTATCTAGATGATGCAAATAAAGGCTCTTTGACACTAGTTTTGTCAGATCTAGCTGCTTCCATTATGAAATTTCTAGGCATCATAGTAAAATAATAAAATTTTTTGATCAATAAAATAAATAAACAATTTTCTCAAGTTCTGGAAGGCAGGTAATGGACATTTCTGATTCTTGATATTGTGCGACAAAAGCTACTGCCATTCTTTTCCATGAGATCATTGGAGCAAAATCAAAGATCAAGGCTAAAATCAAGTGCCAAAATCATCTAGATCATCTCCACATTGAAAATCCATAATTAACTTGTAGGTGGAGAATAAGGAGAGAAGCTGGCTTTTACAAAGTTAGCACGTGCTTTGAAAAAAATTATGGAATACGATATTTAATCTGTAATATCGTCCAGTGAATTGAAGGATGACATCAAACAATCTGTTGTCTTCAATGATGGGAGGCTGTCATGAATTTCTTAGCTAAAATGCAAACTTGCTCTTTTTAGCAATGGAATAACTATCGAAGCCCTATTTGAGAAAAAACACCAAAGAAAAGAATGTATCCAATGCATATTGAAAATCCATATTTAACCTGTAGGTGGAGAATAAGCACAGGAGAATGCTATTACGAAGTTAATTTATGATTTGGATGAAAGGACAAATACTAGATTGAATCTGTTACCTCATCAGGAAAATCTGAAAGCAACATCAAATAAGTTGTATTTAGCGATGGGTGGTTGATGCAAGCAAAAATTTGGAAAAGCCCCAATTTTTTGCAAGCAAAAGAAAACCGTTCCTAGGACAATAAGAAAATACAACAAATTACGACAAAATACAACTTTTATAAGATAAAGACGACTCTTACAAACTTATAACATTAAAAAAAACACCTTACAACTCTTGACAAACATAAAACACCTAAAATTGCATTTTTCATCTGTCGCTTTGAGAAGAAGGTTACAAGTGACGTCGAACTTGCGGAGAGAAGAAAGAGGTTAGAAGTCCAAGACGAAAAGAGAGGACAAGCTCGCAAGCCTTCCAAGAGGGATAGAAAGAGAAGTGGAACAAGCTCGCAAGCCTTTCCAAGAAGGAAAACCCTCAGGTTTTTGGTTCCAAAAATTGCATCATATCATCCTTTTTTTCATTACAAAATATCTAATATTTATAGGAGAAAACAGGGCAGCCAAACAGACCATAAAACACCTCCAAATAAACCAATCAGGTAAGGGGAAAAGGAAGGCCAGTAGGCAAAACAGAGCAGCATCCGTAAAGGCAACACAGGAACCGGGTAAAACAACCATAGGAAAGCAGCCAGGGAAGAAACCGAAAAGGTAGCACAGGGGACCGGAACTAGCACCCAGCAAAGGGAGGAGAACCAGCCACGAGAAACAGCACCAGGAAGAAATCGAGGGGGTACAAAGAAGGTGAAGAGAAAAGTTCCAACTCCACTTAATGAGCTTAATAAGTAGAATACCTTTTCAAATTAATGAGCTAATACTTTTAGCTCAAGCATTTATGAGCGGGAACCAAGAAGCTCCCAAAGAATACAGCCCAAACCCGAGCATCCAAGGCTCCACCCGAGAGGCAACAGCAGCCCAAAAGACCAAAGAACCCAAGAAACTAGCAAACCCAAAGCTTGCCAAGCCCAAGCTCAACCCAAGATGTTTTGACGCCCCCTTGCCTACATCAATTATTCTCCGGTTGAAAGAACCCATCTCCCGATGAGGTTGCTTCAGATTTTTTCCGAGGAGACGAAGGAAGCGCATCTAGCTCTTGAATTTTGGTCTCGTACTTTTTTCGGGATTTCTTCTCGTTCTTGTTTGAATTGTTCTTGTAGGAGTCGCTTCTTTTTCATGTACTGCTTCGTGTACAAGTGTATTTTCATCTATAGTCTGTATAATTCGTTTTGTAGAGGATCTGTTGAATCTCCTTCTGATGGAATCCATCAGTCCATTGGAATTGGCACTTCAATATTTTCTGGCTTGCATTCTTCCACTAGATCATTGTTTTTATCTTTTTCATTTTTTTAAACAAAGAAAAGAAGACTCAACAAAACTTAAACTTACTTGATACCAAGACTCAAATGACAACACGACTCATAAACCTAGGATTTGCTAACCCGCTCTGATACCAAATTGATGTAGTCAAACTAGAAAGAAAAGTCAAGATAGGAGAACACTTGGACAATAGAAACCAAACTCGATTCAATCTAGATTGCGGACATCCAAACAAACACCAAAACAAACGAAAAGTCGGACAAACGAAATAAAATTATAAAATAAAAGCACTATCCTCAGAACAAGCGGCAAGCGGTTTCCTCACAATCTCACATGCAACGAAAAGTAGGTAAAATATGACAAGTGCTTAGGGCTTGCAAACCAAGGGTCCATCACAATAACAATGTCCAATGTCCAACCAAACTCCTCCAGCAAATGTCACCAAATTCTGCCAACAAACACCTCCAATAGCTCAGGAAGAAGGATACAAGTGGAGTTAAACTTGCATAGAGAAGAAGAGATTAGAAACCAAGACGAAATAGAGAGGAGGAAGAGAGAATTGGAACAAGCTCTCAAGCTTTTCCAAGAAAGGAGATGAAACCCTCAGTTTTTTAGAGATTTTTCTCAAGATAATCAACAACCTCCTCATGAAAATACATATCTAATTTATAAGAGAGAAAGGGGGCAGCCAAATAGCCCATAAAACACCTCCAAATAAACCAATCAGGTAAGGGGAAGAGGAAAGCCAGCAGGCAAAACAGAACAGCACCCGAAAAAGGTAACACATGAACTGAGTAAAGCCAGCACGAGAAAGCAGCCAGGGAAGAAACCGAAAAGGCAGCACAGGGGACCGGAACCAACACCCAGCAAAGGGAGAACCAGCCACTGGAAACAGCACCAGGAAGAAACCGAGGGGGTAGAAAGAAGGGAAAGAGAAAAATTCCAACTCCACTTAAAGAGCTTAACAAGTAGAATATCTTTTCAAATTAATGAGCTAACACTTTTAGCTCAAGCATTTATGAGCTGGAACCAATAAGCTCCCAAAGAACACAGCCCAAACCTGAGAGGCAACAGCAGCCCAAAAGACCAAAGAACCCAAGAAACTAGCACACCCAAAGCTTGCCAAGCCCAAGCTCAACCCAAGATGTTTTCACCCCCCCTTGCCTACATCAGTGGTAGTCTGTCCATATGTGAAAGAAAATATCAAAGACAGAAACAATATCTAATGCATCCTCCTACCAATCTAGGGTTGCGAAGGATCGATGTACGCAACTTGTGGATATGGAGTTTATCTGAATAATTCTTTTGTTGACCTAGGTCAAACTGGTGTCCACCTAACACTTGCTACAAATACACTTTTAATGAAAAGTCCCTGAATATCCTTATTGAAATGTGGAGTTCGTCAAAGTTTAGCCAATCTAGACACTTGCGCTGGCAAAATTGTCTGTATTGTGTGAACCATCCGATTGGATTTATATTTAGACAAAGACACTGTATAACTACAATAAATGTGAAATAACACAAAAAATGTGCATCTTAACGCATGACCATGCAAAATGGATTGCATGGACTTAACAATACAATTCAAAACCAAATTTAATATTTTTTATGCCTGTCTCAACTCCAAGATCACTTAATTTGAAGGGAATGGCGTTTTCCAATAAAATTCAAAACAAAATTTAATATGATTTATTCCCGTCTCAACCACAAGAGTACTTAATTTGAAGCAAAAGACTTTTGACTAGGGTATGATGCTGCTTCATTAACTGCCTGACCTTACACTTCCTTGGGCCATATAATCTGAGCTCCCCATTAGCTTAGTTTTGAAGGAATGTTAGAAACAATCTTGAACAAGTATTTTTAAAAAAAATGCTTTGTTAATGAGAGAAAAAAAAAAAAACGTGGTTGTGTATCTAATATAGAAATGTTTTGACTTATTTTAACACTGGAACAGAGTATTTCTACATCTGAAAACATAGCGTCCATTCCTAGTTTCCCCTTGGATATCTTTAATACAATTTGAATCTCTTATAGCTGTTTTTGACTTCAAGTTGACAGGGTAGGCTTCTTGCTCGTGCATGCAACTATACTGCAGCTGCTGAGATTTACCAAAAGGTCCTACAAGCACGGTATGCATGTGGTGTATATTATGTCAATAACTACTGCTAATAAAAAAATATCATTTGATCTTTGAGAAATTTCATTTATTTCTGGGGTTTGTAAAGACTTCTCAATATTAGTACATATGCTCTGCTATTACAATGATTCTTATTTATTTTACCATATGAGAACTGTAGAAGTTTATGAGGGCCTTTTGTAGCTTTTGGCCTTGACCTACATTTATCCTGAAACCTTATCCACTCTAGCATGTTCTTCTTTGATGTTCATTGCTGATTTTGGTACCGTTATACTGAGGCTTTTGACCCCACTTCCCACCCTTTTCTAATAGTCTGTATATTTTCACATTGCAAGTTCATAATATCTCTAATGACAAGTTCTTTGATTACAAGCTTTTGTTTAGACTGATGATATCGTCTGTACTGCAAGCTTCCGATTCCTGCTCTAGATGCAATATAGCTTTAGCAGCACTTACAAATTTCATTATCAAATGTTGTGACGTTACTATTAGGCTAATCAATTTCTGCATCATCATATATGTTTATTAATTGGGTGGAAGATTTCTTGACATCAGTTAATTTGTGAAGTGCAGAGTTTGGGTGTAAATAGTATTACGGTAATTATGATCATTGGCCGGTGAAATTATTTTGAAGCTAGAAGAAAGGCATACAACACGTTACGAGTGCATATGCAAAATGTGGAAAAGCGGTGGGGTGACTACATGAAGCTTCATTTGAGTCCTATCATTTCCTACACTTTATTTGGTTCGGATAATGTATGTTGTATTGTTTTTTAAGTTGTTGAAACGGTAATTATTCAGCCTACGATTGTCTTGAATAACTTGCTTTGGTCATTATGGTGAATAGCCTATGTGAAGGTAGAATTGGTTGGAGGGATAGGATGGAGGGTAGGGTGCAAATAGTTTTGTTTGACTTTGTTCAAACTAAGTATTCAAACTAAAATTAACTCATGCTTAATAGGAAAGAACAATGAAGGAGGATTTCTTAAGCTGACCTGAATAGTTGGGTTTCGGTTGATGCAGCTACTGGTTTTGTTACCAATGGATAATAAAATTGAAATTGCAGTTCTAATTAACCAATTTTTACTTCTCTGATCAAATAAGTATCTACTTGTATGTTATTTGAATATTTATATTATTTCACATGTTTTTCCATATATTCTTGTGTGCTTTCTGTTGTAAATTAATGAGCTTTGCTTATCATCAATCTCTATTCGGTATCAACATTTCTCTGGATGTGATGGTTTTTAAATGGACAGTCCTGATGATTGGGGATCATTCCTCAATTACTTGGGCTGTTTGTTAGGGACTGATTTCAGTTGGTCAACAAGCGGTTCTAGTCAACTATGTTCATCAGATAATGTTGTTTTTCAAGGCTGTAAATCAACCAATCTTCCCCTGGAAGTGGTAACTTTCTCATTCGTTATTTGGCCTTTTTGTGACTAAGTAATGCTAAACCCTTTTTATTAGTATTAATGATGATTGCTGTCTTAAAATGAAACTTTATTCTTATATAAAATAATTATGCAGTTTGATTCACGCATAGAAAGCGCCTTGTCTTTTGTACAAAAGTTGCAAATGGAAGTCCATGATGGTCTTGCGAGATGTCCTTACTTGGCATCCATTGAAATAGAAAGGCAATGCCGCCTTAGGGGAAAAACTGATGCCAAGCTATTGGAAGCCTTATTAAATTACTTTCAGAGGTTTGTTTTCTCATATAAGATCCTCTTTCTTAGATTGGATATGTTCCTTAGCAGCATAATTACATAGTACCCTACCATTTTCGTGCCATTTCTTAGCATCTGCTTTACTTGTAACTCGTCTGGTTTTGAAATAAAGGACACAACTCTTTACTTGATGGGATCATGTTTTATTTTCTGGTAAACTTTTTTAATGAGCATTAGAGAGTAATTGCAACGACTTAAGTTTCTTGAGCTGCATAGAAACTGTCCTAAAAAAAATTTAATACAAAAAAACATCAGAATGTGAAATTAGTTTGCATTAAATTAAATTTTGTGGCTTGCAATTAAATTTTTTTTTTAACCTTATTTATTTGGCAACAAGAAATTTTAGATAGCTTGTAGGTGCATTATGCGCCATATAACTGCTGGGTGCGGCATATGAAGTGATTTTCAGTTTAAGAATATTATTAGGACATTTTTTGAAGATAAATACTACTTAATTCACCTTTTTGGATTTCTGTTTGTACTATTTATCGGCTTTTGTTGTTGTTGTTGTTATTCAGTCATGAAGAATTGGAATGCTTTTTTCGGCTCTTTCTAAACAATTTTGCTTGTTGTCATTACTAACCTTCTATCAACTATTTGAGATTGGCTTTATGAATCTTATTTCATTCTTCATTTCTTGTTGTGAGTACTACATGTGATTTTAACTCAAGTTTATTGAACCTTTTCACACTTTTATCAATGATATCTTCGGTCTCCACCTCATTTTTTTGCTTATTATTCACATAGATTCCATCTTTGTACCTACTTGGCATTTCTTTTGCTGTAGGTGTACGTGTCTAAACGTCCTCAGTTTGTTCTAGTTGGTTTTCTACATTTTTATATCCCATAAATTCTTCTGTTGAACAAGCAAAATGCTAGCTTGCTAGCTAGAGAATTCCGGGCAAATTTAATGATAGAATTGAGCTGGTCAGATGTAGGAGACTTTGCTAAATCATTATAGCTTGCTTGATCTGCCCCATTCAAATTTTCTTCAACTTTGGTGCATAATTAGAAACTAGTTGACTCCTTTAGTTTGGACAGAGAAATCTAACCCTCGACAAAAATACCCTTTGGTAGTTGATATCAAGAAGCAAAGGTCTTATGGTAAGTAAAAATTCGCCATTGATATTTATCGAAAGAACATGCGACTCACAAGTTAATCAATCTTGATATGGATTTTTGAGCACACTTATTAATGAGCACACTTATTAACGAATTTAATTGTTGGATCGGTCCTCTTATAACCTTTAGATTGCAATTTGTGTGTCTCGCCTTCCTCTTCTAGCCGCCAGCCCCTTTTGGAGATTTTTCTTTTCATTTTTTTATTAGTTTTGATTTATTTTTATCATAAGCCTTTTGGAAAAGTCTATATATACTTACAGACTTTATACAAAATCAAGCAATAAAACTCAAAATAGTTTTACCATTTTTCCACTTTTTTCATGATATCATAGCCATGTTAAGGCTTCATTCTTCTAATAGTTGTTTTCTTTTTCTTCGTTTTATGTGTGGGATTCTTCCTTATCTTCATATGTTTGATTTATTTGACTTTCTATCCAAATAGTCAACCATCAGAAATGATTAAAATCAAATTAAGGGAGAACTCTAGGGGCAATAAGCCCCATATTGCTTGAATGGAAGAAACAATCTTAAATGATATCATATTGTGATGATTTTTCTAAAAGAAAAGGGCAAGATCCATCACCTCATCGATCCTCCATTGTTAAACGACCTGATATTTGTGCTTTGGGATGAAGCGGATTCCATGATCATGACATGGTTATGAAATATTATTATGCATGAAATCAGTGGGCTGTTTATGTTCCTATCTACCTCAAAAGAAGCTTGGGATGCCGTCGAACAAATATTCCATTAAATGATGTATACTGCCTTCATGTACGAGATCAAAATTATGATCTCGACAACAAAACAAGGTAATCATGTTCTTAAATACTTGAATGCGATGAAGTTTTTTTTTTTTTTCGACATGAACTGGAATATTTCTATGGTCTCAAGATGATATGCTACGGTGATTCAATAATTCTCAAGAAATTTGTAGAATGAGAAAATGTGTTTTGAGTTCATTGCAGGATTCAATTATGAATTTGATTAAGTTTATGTCCAAATTTTATGAATAGCAAATCTACCATCACTAAATTAGGTATTCTCTTTCATACGAGCCTAAAAAGAAAGAAGGATGGTAATGCTTGAAATCTGCAATGACAATCATCGAGCTCCAAGGTAAGGGACATTATGGACTATTTTCCCAAAGAAGGACAAAAAACTTCTTCCAAAGGTAATTTATGTTGCAACTACTGTGAGAAGAAATGACACATTAGAGAAAAATGCTAAAAACTTCATGGAATCCTTTAGGTTATAGAGAAAATAGAGAAGGTCACCAAAAGTGATAGATCTATCTTGTAGAATCAGAATGACTCAACTCAAAAGAAGTTAGCAAACTTAGAAATTTCCTTAACTTTGTAAAATTATATGGATCTTGCTTTCTAGCTCAAAATGATAAGACTTTTAAGTCTTGTATTTTTAGTGCCTTTAATAATTTTCCTCAGTCCCGGATCTTAGGTTCAGAAGCCACTGTCTACATGGCCAATCTTACAAATTTTTTTCAATATTAGAAACCCAGCCATAATAATAGAGAATTAAAGTGGTCGATGGTTCTTTAGTAATTGCTACATGTTGATGTAGGCAAAAGAGGGGTCAAAATATTTTGTGTTTTAATTTTTGGTAAGCTACTAAAATTCAGCCCAGTATTTTAAAATTAAATAGGTTCATCCCCCCCCCCCCTATTGGCCCTTTGGTTTCCTCCCCTTGGCTGCCTTCCCGTGATTGGTTCCTCCCCCCCTCCCCTTGGTTGCCTATTCCGGTTCCCCATGTGACCCCTCGGTTTTCCCTGCCTGGCAGTCTGTTTCGATTCATTTGGGTGCCTGTTCCGATCCCCTTGTGCTGCCCCTTCGGTTCCTCCCCTGGCTTCTTGTCCAGTGGCTATTTTTTTCGGTTTTTTGTGTGGTTTTTTTCGGGTGCTTTTCTGGAATGAATTCTGGCCTTCCACCTTCGCTGTTTTGATTGGACTGTTTGGATATGGTTTTGGCTGTCCCATTTTCTTCTATAAATTGGAGGTGTTTTGTAATAAAAAAAGAGAATGATGTTATAATCAGATTTTTGAAATAGAAAACCTGAGGGTTTTTTGTTGGAAAAGCTTGCGAGCTTGTTCCGTTCTTCCTCTCTTCTTCTAGGAAAGCTTGCGAGCTGGTCCTCTTATTTATCTCGGCTTCTTACCTCTTTCTTCTCGGCGCAAGTGACCACCCCACATGTATCTTTCTTCTCGACGAAGGAATGCAACTTTAAGAGTTTTTATTTTATGTGTGTAAGCATCGTTTGTAATCATCATTTTTATAATATATAGTTGTATTTTATTTTCTTTCATGTAATTTTCTATTTCATAGGAAGTGTTTCTATTTGCTTGCAAAAATTAGGTTCTTCCTAATTTTTGCTTGCATCAATTTGGTATCAGAGCGGGTTTGTTGAGTGAGTCTTGGTGAGTCATAATAGTTGTCGAGTGCGTTTAAGTTTTGTTGAGTCTTCTTTTAGAAAAAATGGAAAAAGATAAAAATAGTGAACTAATTATGTAAAAAATTCAGCCATAAGATATTGAGATCCAAATCCATTTGGACAGATGGATTCCACCACAAGGAGATTCTATGGATCCGATTCAGAGGGAATTATATAAGCTTCAAATGAAAATGCACTTGTGTACGGAGCAATATATGAAGAAGAAGCTACTTTTACAAGATCAATTTAAACAAGAACAAGAAGAAATCCTAAAAAAATACGCGGCCAAAATTCGAGAGCTAGATGCAATGCCTTTAGAGCAAACTCAAACATTGTTATGAGATGAGCTCTTTCATCCAGGGAAGAATTAATGTAGGCAAGGGGGGGGGGGGGTCAAAATATTTTGGGTTTTAATTTTTGGTGATCTACTAAAATTCAACTCATTAATGTTAAGCTTCTACTCTATTCAGCTAATTATTTTAAAATTAAATAGGAACTAGTCACGAGAAGGCAGCCAAGGGGAGGAAACCAAAGGGCCAATAGAAGGGGGGGGGGAATGAACCTATTTAATTTTAAAATAATGAGCTGAATAGAGTAGAAGCTCAACATTAATGAGCTAAATTTTAGTAGCTCATCAAATTTTAAAACCCAAAATATTTTGACCCCCCTTTGTCTACTTCAGCTTTAAGTGTGATGAGAGATTGACACTGGGACATAGGTGCATTAATCGATCCCTTTAGGTCTTAATGGTCTGTGTGGGGAAGAGGAGAGTGGGGACGAGCTGGAGGATGTCATGGAGGAAATAGAGCAGTTACATCTTGATTTAAGAGAAGCATCCCTAAACTCTGTGGTGTTACATCTTGATTTGGCAGAAGAATCCTTGAACTCTATTATGGGATTGACTCTAAATCACACCATGAAAGTGTGGGGATAAATGGGTGAGCAACCCAGTAATCGTTTTGGTAGATAGTGGGGTTGTATATAACTTCATATCAAATCGGGTTGTGAACCCATTGACGTTGAAGATGGTTAGGACCGATGTATGTGTGGTGATGATGGGGGCGGGTAAGATAGAGAGGAGTCGGGGGATATGAAAAGGTGGTGATGACCTTGTAAGATATTTAGGTGGTTGAAGACTTCTTTTCTCTAGACTTGGGAAGTACGGATGTGATTCTATGGATAAAGTGGCTACAAACCTTAGGGGATATGAATGTGAATTGGAAGGCTTTGACCATGGAGATTCATATAGAGGGGAGGAAGGTAGTGCTTCGAGGGGATGCTACTTTATGCAAAACTATGGTCACTTAAAAACTATGCTCAGGAAGATCCATGGTGCGGGCCTGGGATAGTTGGTGGAGTTATATAGTATAGAAGGGGTCCATGAGTAGGAGGTAGGACAAATTCCAATG